CTCTACAGTAACTCATCAACTCTCTAAGAGGTACTAAAACATTAAATGCATTGCAACCTAGAAACAGAGACTGCAACAACACGTTTCAAAGTCTAAGTACTTGCAAACTGTTTATAACTTTAAAATATCAACTAATTGCTGAAAAGTCAGCATCTTCCATACCGAACAGAGTAGGTCACAATAAACTAAACTAAAAGAATCACAAGTAGATTTTTGATTCAGCACTGTGTACCTCTTTGTAACTGATTTCAGCAACCACTCATACACATTTAGACTTTACCACGTCTTTAGGGCTGTGTGACTGAGGCTTTCTAGCTTTAGGAAGTGTTCAAATCAATTTAAGAAGTTTGTATTTCTTTGTTGTTTTTTTAATTAAGCGTAATAATGTATTTGTTTTTGAGCCTTATATACTTATAAATATTAATACACTATTGCATGTCTGGATATTGGATGTTTTTGTTCTCATTTTAGTCAAAAGTTTCATGTCAAAACATACTGCTAGCAGCATGTAAAATATCAAAACTGGCAAATGTGACCAAGAAAACATGATGCTGACTCAATGTTAGAATCCATAACTGTGTTAAAGTAGGTGGGGATTAATAATTTGTAGCTTTAAATTGAATAATCTTAATATCCTACTACATTTTATAAAAATTACTATGTGTTTTTTAAATAAAAAATGTAAGTGTAACTCAATATAAAATACTAAGAGGAAACTTACTCTAAATTATAGCCCAGTTTTTTCCTATTTTTTAAATTAATTTAATTACATCTATCCATTATAGATCATTATATAAGGAAGTTTGGCACATTACTCCAACAAATAGCTGAAACTCTCTCATACAGGTCTGGGTAATGCAATGGCTAAATATTTCGGTAAGAACAGTTTCACCTTGTGCCCAACAACGGTTTAATATTTATCAAGTATTACATGAGATGATTGGCAGTCAGCTGGGAAAAACCCTCAGGCATCATCATCTCTCCTTATAATAACAAGTATGGGAATTTTTGTGAGATATTTAGGGGCACCACCCACATCATGGAAGGCAGACGTGTCATTCCATAGGGGCAAACATGGCAACCATCCAAATTAACCGCACCTTGAGGTTTTTCAGAAGAAGATGTCACGTCAGCCGTCAATGTTAAATACCTGGAAGTGCTCACAACAACAAACCCAAACAATCTGTAATAAGAACTTTATTTTTCAACAATAACAAAGAACAAAATATTTCAAAAGCATATTCATATGTTACATCGACTGTACAGAGACTGGATGGTGTGGGCTTTACTCTAAATGGAAGGATGCTAACAAAACGAGGAAACTAGGAATATTTAAGTCATCTCATGAAAAAATATGAAATATTCCATGTCTAGGTACAAAATAGAAAAAGGATTAAGCAGATTATGGACTGATACTATACCCTGATACAGTGTTTAGGCCTCTTAACTGTCACAACATCATTTACAAACAAAACATGACAACATTGCCATCTTTCAATAGCTAAACCTCTTGGCCTCTTTGGTTCCATGATTAGGTATAATACATTTGAACAGAATTCAATTTTGCTTCTATAAAAATAACTTTTATTTTTTCAATGGCAGTTTCTATTCATTTTTTTTATGACTAGTCACGCAACTCCTCAGTGCAAATACTCTAAGAACCATTCGCTTTGAAGAATAAGCAAAAGATTACAGTGGCAGGTGAGCCTAGGGTTGGGCATCGGGCAGGAGGCTGGAGAAAACACGAGATAATGAGCAGTATCAAGTCTCAGGTATTTCTCTTTACCCAGCGAATAAGAGAAAAATGTGTAACGAGCTTGTGAAATAACAGGTCGCTGAAGCGTTTAACCTGAAAATATCAAAGTGACTGAGGCCTGAAAGTGTGTCTCAAAGTGTGTTATGGTGCCAAACAGGCCGCGATGGGAATTCCGCTGGGATGCATTTATTTAAAAATCACTATTCGTGCATCGCATTTGGGTCAAAGTTAGCCCCAGTTAGCCTCTTTTTACATTTCAGATGATTATTTTTCTAATGGCAGTAAAACCTTTTTAGATGAAAGAGAAGAAAAAACTCCAATAGATTATTGGATTGAGCTGGTATAGCAATGTACGGATGACATTGAAACAAACTTGTACATTATATGTGCAGTTGTAGAACGAATGTTGGTGCTGTTTGGAACCACTGATTCATATTTTACATGCAAAGTAAACAGTGTGCTGTATCAGTAAAACGTGCATCTATGCAGAAGTGGACCTTTTATGTCAATACAGCAAGATTACTCCCTTCCAATATTATTTTTGAACCAACACCAATACATCAATTGACACCAAACTCTAAAAAGTTATATTGGTGGAAGGAGTACCAGGGGGTCCTTGGACAGTTTTCTCCATCGTAAGAACCTTTGGACTTGAAGATATATTAGCTTAAGCTGCTGTGTTGGTTCAATTTTACTGTGCAACATATTCAATATTTAGCCAACCAAATCTCAAAAAATTGCAAGAGTAAATACATTTATTTAAATAAAATTCCAAACATTGGTTTTTACTAGATACACACACCACAAAGCAGTCAGCAACAGCTGACTAGTGCCCATGCTATTGTTTGGTCTGTTCTTGCTGTTGGCAAAGTGATACACTTCATCACTCTGAGAAAATGTATTAACGTACAGTAATTAGCCTATTTTTGTGGGTACTCTGTAACACTCAGGTCCTTCGCTGCTATGTAAATGTCATTTTAGGTAGGTGGTTGCCAGGCAGCGTGATAGAGTCATTAAAATGTTTAAGTTTTGTGGCTACAAATTATGTTAATGTTGAGAAATAAATATGCAATGCTTTTAAAAGCATTTATTTGTGCATATATTCTAAAAATTGGGCATTTTCACATGTTGATAGGTAGTTGCTAGGCAACATAATATATATACATATATGGGCCTTCAGGCATCTAAGCTATATCAGTGTACAAAGTTTGGTTGCTCAACTCCCGGTCATGTTGAAGGAGTTTCCAAACAAACAAATACACAGAGATTTGGTGTGTGCATTTTTAGGTTTGAGGATACTGAATAAGTCAAACTGTTGCCCTGCTTTTGTTGTTGTTGTTGTTGCTTCTTTAACCATAAATCAAAGAAAAATAAATAGTGTTTCCTTCTTAAAAGAGAAGGAATGTTTTTTCATCAGAGCCTCCCACCTGAAGCCCAACACACCACTGCCTGCCACACTTACTTCAAGTATTGGTGATAGTTTGTCACTAGAGCTTAAGTTCATCTTGTCTGATATATGGGTAAATACTATACATTGCATAGCTCATGCGGCACTTATTTATTTTAGAAGGACTGTGGGCGTAGATGTGCCACGTAGGGCTCATTAAAGGCATTTCAATCTGCAAGTGCTATCAAAGTGTGCGTCAGGAAGTGCAAAGTTGCACCTTCTCTTAACTGAGCAATATGGCAACTTTTCACTTTCACTGACGGAAATAAGAGTTACATTAAATGTATTTTAATAAGGAAGGGGTCAAACCTTCCATTTCAAGGAGAAGCTGCAGGAAAGTGAAGGAAATATCTTGCTTGTGAGGTCATTCCTGATATGCTGAAAAGGAATATTTGTTTGACTGGCACCTTAATGAGCAGGTTGGTTCGTCAACTAAAAGGATTTTCTTTTACTTCAGTGATACAAAGACCAAGAAGAAAGGGTCGAAGTTTTCACCCTAACAGGAATATCTTGAATAGGTCTCAAAACAAACTAACGTGGAATTTCTGAAACTTCGGATGGTAAATCAAAGCTCATAGTTACTGACGTTCTGATCTACAGATTTCTCTGGGGGCAATAGTTTGAGGGGACATTCCTGAGTGCAAAAGTAAGATAGTCTCCTTAAAGATGGGTTTATTACTTTCAGTAGTACAGATTTTAAGAAGGGAGCATAGAAGCTTGGTTGACTGAGCCAAAACCTCTGGGAAAACCAAATATTATATCATAGAATTTGTGGAACTTTAGTTGGTAAATGGGTGCTCATTATATATTGACTGGATGAGCTATTGCCCTACTCTCAGATACAAATATTTTTATTGGAGCAAACTGTGACACATACTTTGATGAGAAATTAAGGTGGATTCCTGAAAGATGGGGTTTATTACCTTTAACGGTACATATTCCCCAAAAGAAGGGTAGAATTTGGTTGAGCTGCTAGTTTATGATGTACAGATTCTACTGGTGATGAAGATTTCAACTACAGGATGTATTTTTTAAGTTCAGAGGTACAAAACCCAAAAAGAAAGGGAAGGCGTTTGATTGACTCATCCAAAGTCTTTAGAAGAGGTCAAAAATTACGTTTGCATAAACTTATGACACTTTGAGTGTTACTTAAGTGCTAATTAAGTATAAACATTAATTGGACAAGCTACTAACCCATTTCTTTTTTATCTACAGATTCTACTGGGTAAAACAATTTTCAAATCAAAATGTTTGATCAGCACTAAAGTTAATGGAAAACTGTGAAGAAATGCATATCAGAAACATGGCCTCTAAGCAGATATTCCATTGAATTTCAGTTGTGACATCTCACAAAGTTCTACCTGTATTTTGGATAATTATTGAATGGTTTTGGAGTAATAAAAACCTTGTTTACTGGGGTTTGCTGGAATATAGAATATGTTTCCATTCATTTCAAAAATCTGTTTCTGGAATTTGCAGGTCTTATTATGGAACAAACTTTGTTAAGGCCAGAAGTGCTGTACGATCCAAGCCAGAAGTGCTGTATGTTGGTGTAGCTTGAGTGGTGTGAAGACATTTTCAGTGTTTGTCCAAAGTGCTCTTGAAAGAGGCATAGCAGAATCACCCCCCAACCTTCATTGTTACTCATGTAAAGCTCCTTTTACCTCCTCTGGAGACAGCATTTTAACATTCAAGGTTGGGTTTATGTTCTACTCATGAAGAGTTTCAAGTGGCGCCTATACTAACAACTTGAGTGATAGCAGAAAATTACATCAGATGATGCTGCTTTGTAAAGGCTAGTAGGTTAAGTAAGTCTTACACAATTTAACAAACCAGATCCTCATTATCTTAGAGATAATTAATGAAGAACTTCAGATATTGATTGTTTTCCAAGTGGATTTTTAAAGATTTGGAAGAGAACTCTTCATTTCTGTCTGCAGGAGACTAAGTCTTCAAACTCATATTATGAATATATCAACAAACATAAATATATATACAAGTTTTTGTGCAGGCATATATGAGGGTGTGTAGATATGTGTGGATGAGGTTGTGCGTGCACATGTTTTCTCCGTCGTCCATAAATATTTTAATATTTAATTTTTTTGTAATATTGTGAATCTGTTTAGTTCTTCAGTTCCACTTTAAGTAAACAGGAAAAACATACTCAAGCACAGCCACACTCGTCCACGATCATGTTTGGAACGTCACGCTTGACGATGTTGTATTCGTCGTCAAAGTAGAGCATGGACATGGTACTGAGCTTTGTGGGGATGCAGCAGGAATTCATGGAGCCCGGACTCATCCCCCGCAAGCGGTACTGGTTCACCACTGCTGTGTGAAAGGATGAAGCTGAACCGGGGACACCGGCCATGTAAGCCGGACAATTCCCCTCACAGTAGTTCCCGTAGTAGCCTGATGGTGCAATGATCCAGTCGCTCCAACCAATGAGTCGGAAGTCTATGTAGAACTGCTGCCGGCAGCACAGGTTGCTGCTGCCATCACACTCCAGTCCTCGCTTCCGGATCCGGTGTTTGCTGTCAGCCTGCCTCGCCTGTACCACCAGGAAAGGCCGGTGGGACTCATCATGGACATTGAGCAAAATGGGCAAGACACCCTCTGCCTCGCAGCCCTCACAGCGGATATCCAGGTTCTGTCGCCTGTCACCTTTCTCGAACACCAACCGGACAGCATCAGTCAGCATAAAGGTGTGCCAGCCACTGCGTTTTAGCTCCACTCGTTTTTCCACCAGGTTCCATTTGCTGCCAAGGCCGGGCTCCTGGTAGTACACCTTCACCGTAACCTTACGCCTGGCACGCACCTCCAAAGGTGCCGGCAGCACCTTAAAGTAGAGCCATAGGGTGGCTTGCGTCACATACAGGTTCTGGTTCCCCTCGCTGGAGATCAGGAAAAACAGGCTGGACTGGGATGTCACCATATCATCTAAGGAGCAAAAACACATCAGAGGTATTAACAATGATGTCAAGTAACTGTTCAGAATACGCCATCTGGAAAGACCACTGACGATTGAAAGTAAAGGGCAGTGACAACCAGCTCATGGGTAAATGTTTATATTAAGATATAACTCTTTCTCCCCATAAAGGCAACATCTGATGACCTCCCTTGTACCCTTAATGATCAGTTTTGACACTTCAGTATATATCAATAAAGAAGCACGAGAACAGGTTCTGGGTTTTTCCAAGATTAGCCCTAGTAAGCTGTATAGGCAGATAACTTCTGATAAACTTCTGAAGCAGTCCTGAAGATGACAGAAGCTGCTCATTTCAGAAAAGAGAAACAAGTGACTGGAAAGATCTAGATATAGAAAGGAGAGGGATACGTTAGTTTGGCACCTAAAAACGCACCTCACAAAAGCAAAGGCTGAAAATAAAATCATATGTTACTAATTTAGAAAATAAAATCATACAAAGCCTGACTGTCCTTACAATGAGGCCTGACAGAGCAATACAGGTCTATGAAGCCTCAGGAGACACAAGAAAGACTATCTCCATGGCGTTAGCTTTTTCTCAGAGACTGTGCAGACACTGCACATGGACACAGGTTTAAGGACTATTAGCTCTTTTGAAGAACTGTGACTGAAAAATACAAATCCTCAAATCCCCTCAAACCCAATGATACCTCTAGACAGATTAATACCACCATGTTGGTCTTAGAAGTATTCCAAGTACTTAAACTACAACAAAATGCCAGGATTGTTTGGTCTGGGCTGCTTTGTATGGATTGCAATCCATCTCATTTATTTCTCTTGTGGGATTTATTCTGCAAGCAAGTTTGCCCATTAACGAAGGATAAAGTTTTGATCTGGAGCAGAGACATGTAAATATCCTTTAAGTACTCTTGAGTAATTGATGGTGGAGTGAAACAGTACTCCACACTCTCATGACTAGAAGAAACGGTCTAATCAATCTACTGTGTTTTACATTTTGGGGTCATTTATCTTGAGATGCTTCTGGAGCTTTCAGTGGCTGTTTCAAACCTAGAACTTGCAGCTTTGCTTTTATTTTAAATGCCCCAATGAGAAGCTGATTGACGGATGTCAGATGAAGACGCTTAGTGCCATTAATCAGGTCTGAACCTCCTGAACTGAACTGAGTGCAGCTGACCAGGATGAATTGAGACTGACAGCATTTAGGAGGCCACAGACTTCAGTGAATGAACCTCGAGAGCTTTAACCATAAAAAAAAAAAGGAGAAGACCAACCAAATACCATGAAAGCTTCCCTGAACTGGATACAAGGCTTGTGAGTACACAAAACATAAATCTGAAACAGTGTGAAAGACGTTCTAACTCTACAAGCTTCGCCTCATCCATCTTGAGACAAGGATATCTCTGAGTCAGCAACTTGGCTGTTACATCAAACACTGCCCGCAGATTAGACCGCTGCTGTCACCATAAAAATCAAGGATGATAAAGTAAAGTTTCTACAAAAGGATAACAAAGGTTAAGTTGAGCTCCAGGCGCAGATTTCACAGGTGGTTTATGTTCGTCTGTCACCACATATTCTATCAAGATGCTAAAACCCTCGGCTTGTTCACTTATTCTAAACTGTAGAGATCAAAGCGACAGCTAAAATGCCTGTGATGCAGATATAAACAAGCACTCAGTGGCAGGAGGGGTCTGAACGGGCTGGCGTTGGTTTGGGGATGAGATCTACAAGCATTGTTAAATGAGCCAGCTGCGTTGTCTTTGATGGGACCAAGGAAGTCGTGGATTCTTCTGGACAAGATAAACCCAGAGATTAAAGGACTCTGGTATCAATACCAAGCTCGGCTTGATGGTAAATGTTTTGAAAGTGTCCAAACAGGCTTATTTTAATAAACTGCTCATCATGCGCTGGAAAAGAAAGACAGCAACTGGCTCGGTGTTACATCTGGCACATATTTATCATTTATTTATCTTACTTTCTCCGTGGTCAGAGCCACAAATGTTTAGTCAGGATTAAGAGACAGATGAATAAAGCATGCTGTGATGTGGCAGTGGCCCAACTATGCAAATTTGCAAAAATAATTTCTAATGCAGTAACTAAAACTTCAAGCTAAAATAAGCCGACGTGACGGCATGTAACCACTTTCATTTGAATTCACTTATCTGCTGTTTTCCTGTCAAACATTTGCTGACACTGGACATTTTCTGAATGGTCTTTCATTTGAAATCTGTGGCTACAAGAAATGCTGACCCGCTTGTGGTTATGAGATCAGTGGCGCCAAAATGAAAAGAGGAAGATAAGCAAATCCTATTCTTGCCGTCAAAGTGGTCAAACAACAGAGATCTGTTAAAACTCAGTTACTTCTCCTTTTTTTAAAACAATGAATGACCCTTTGTGATTTATTATATAATAATACTAAAAGATCCAGATCCTGACGTAGAAATTTTGAGCTTGTGCTTTTTCTGGAAACTCGTGTGTTTCAGCAACATGAAGTTTGCATCCTGTGCTTTAACAAATTACACTAAATAAGATGTTGAATGTTGATTACAAAATGTTTTACTCTAAATATGTAAAAATGGGCATAAATGAACCATCCAGTACAGCAATTTTATTCATGTTTGAGGGGGAAAACTGTCAAATAAACACTATTTTACACATTGCTATTTTATGGAGATCATTTGATATGATCAAAAGGTCCTCATAATGTACTGAAATGACCATCAGGCAAGACTTTTTGGTGCTAAATGTGTCAGAATTGAATTGAGTAGATGGGAAGGTAACATCTTGTATTTTGTAGCATGTGGTTAGAAATGCAACTCTATGTCTGCCACCAGCCTGAGGACTAGAACCGGCCCACAGACCATCTAAATCTACCAACAATGTCCTGAAAACAACCCATGAAAAACCAACCACAGACAGCATTGTGCCAAACAATCTTAAAGCAAATGACCGCAGAGACTCTAAACTGCCATTTACTTCAGTTTAGTTCAAACCAAATCGCAGCAGCAGTCCCTTTAAGGCACTTTATATTGTAAGGTAAAGGCTCTACAGTATTGTAGAGAAACCCCAGCAATGTGACGACCCACAGAGAAGAAACACTTGGTGACAGTGGGAAGAAAAAAACTCCCCTTTTACGGGGTTTCCAGGCTCAGGGAGGGGCAGCCGTCTGCCACAACCAGGTGGAGGTGAGGGGAGGAAAAAAGGACTTGATTCCAGTTCAGCCTGTTTTATCACTAACCTGTTCAGTCACGCATTTCATCCAAATGGCAATATGTGAGATAATTTAAATGCTCATGCAGCATTTTGGAGAATGTTTTTGTTAGCGTTATTTGCTTGTGCAGTGAACAACTGTTTGGTCTTTTGCTTTTTCTAAGTCAATATGACCTTCTAGAGTCGCCCACCCCTCGTCTAGTTGGATGTTAAGAGGTTAGCAGTGACTAGGTTGCAAGAGTAGGGGCTGAGTTTGTTTTTTATTTTATACACATGCAGAAGAAAAACTTTAAAACATTCATAAAGTAGAAGATGTTGAACTTCAAACAAAGTCTTTTGGTGTTTTTCTGTTAAAAGCTTTTTTTATTTGGGTGAATGTTAACCTTTACCCCAGTGACCTGGTGGATATAAAGAGGTGCAAATCTGTACTACAAAGTTGCCCTGAGATCCAACCGTCAAGCTTAAGAGGTACATTGGTGCACCTACAGGGGCAGCTACTGATTTTTACAGGACCCTTTGTTTCTGGGAGTGACCCAAATGTCACTAGTGAGCTTATAAATACAGCAGCAAGTGAAGGCATCGCCACTAATGGAGCTCACACTCACAGAAAGTTAGCCTGAAAGTCAGAACCCAAACTGTGTGTCACTGTGACGCAGCAGCTAACAAACCAACACCATGCTCTCGGGTCCCTGTGTTTTTAGAGGCTGCAGTTAGATCACACACACACACACACACGGAATGAGTTTTAATGGGGTGCCAGGCTGCAGGATTCAGCCCGTCAATCTGCATTCAGGCTGCACGACAACCAGCACAAAAGCTCTGACCTTATACTGAGAAGACTGATTCAACACAGGCCTGCTGTGTCACACACACACACACACACACATAAACACACAGTATCCTGGATGCAGACACATGTGCATGCAGGCACTCACAGAAAAGCTGGACAAAAGCTCAAATCCTCCAAAACAGGCAGGGATAAATGACACTCAAACATATGATATAATCAATACACACACACGCACACACATGCACACAAACACAGAGACACTCTGAGTGGTGATTTGTTGATGTAGAAAGCAGATGTTTTGGAGAAGCGACGGCGAGCGTGCTGAGAGACACACGTGGGCGAAGCAGGTGGTGTCGTTGATCATTTTCAGCCCTGCTCCTTTCAAATAAAGCAAAACTGTTCCTGTGGGCCTTGACGCCGTGCCATGTCCCCACTGGCAGCCGCTCAGCGCCGCTCAACGCCAGCCAACTGGCAAGTGGGTGATGCCGAGGTGGAAGGTCTGCAACACAGCGGCCACAGAGAGAAACATCTGAGAGCATAAAAGCCTCTCAGCGGGGAGTGAAACCTCCGCCGACACCGAGCAGAGTTTACACTGGTTTATTTTTTACAGGGAAGTGAACACAGCACTCACATTTGGATTGTCCCCACTTTCTGTCACTCACATGAATGCAACAGCCACCAAACTCCATTCAAAATGTGCCTGATTTGTAATGTATCTGCCCAAAGAATCACAAAACTTTACTTAAAGTGTGCAGAAAATGCATGAAATGAGTTTTTAGATCTGGCAAAACCAGCATTTCTTTTGGTTTACTTTGAGACTGTCTACAGTGGAAACAGCCAACATGTGATGACAGCTTAACTGGGGTCAAAAACAGTCCCAAACTATCCCCAGGGGTTGATTCTAGAAAGAAATCAAGCTTCTCGATTCACAGAACAACTTCAGGTAGCAGCTACAGCTACAGCTGGCCCCTCTGCTTTTATTTTGGCGGGGTTTTCAGGTCCTAGCACCAACATCTGTTCAACATCAGCATGTTCTCTGGGTTGTTTCTCACTCAGTCAGTATATAAAGACACACGCACACTTTAAACACACACACAGAGCAGCAGAGTTGGAGGAAGTTCAGTGTGTGTGTGTGTGTGTGTGTGTGTGTGTGTGTGTGTGTGTCTCCTGATCCTTTCTGCATACATCAAATATCAGCTCACATCCTGAATTTTAGGAGAACAAGTGTCCTGCCTGCTTTATACAAACCTGCAGCCATAAAGATTTATCAAAATCTATTTTTTAAAGGTTTTTAAAACTTAGTGCTTTTTGTTGATAAATTTCTGCTGTTTTCACACCTGCATACTTTTAAAAAGTCCATAAAGACTTAGTTTTTATAGGGAAATATTTTAGTTTTAGGGTTATCTTTTAAAAAAAAAAAAAAAGACTTTCACCTTGAACTTATTTTCTGCATAGAAACAAAAGCACAGATCCACCTCGGAGAGAAAAATCTATGTGTTCTCTTTTTTCATACCTAAATAAAACAGGTGATCTGATTGGTTTTAATTAGTTTCAATAAAATTTAAAAAAGAAACGACTTTATGATGAGAACAGTGAGGCGTGAGTGACTCCTCACCTTTCTCCGCGAAGCTGATGATCTCCGAGCTCTCCTCCAGCACCTCGTTGCTCATCGGATGCCCGTCCAGGTTGGGGATCTCCACCCTCCCGTCCTCTCGCAGCTTCCCGGCGTGCAGCTTCCGCAGGGCTGTCACCATGGCCGCCTTGGGGACCGGGTGCGTGATGTTGGGCCTCTCCCGCATCTGCAGCCTGCTTAAGATGTGCCTCTTCACCGCCTCTAAGAAGTCCCCGTCGAGCCGCCCGGACTCCGGCTCCTCCGGCAGAGCGCCGCCGCCGCAGGACGCGCAGGTGTCCCGGGACGCCGTGCGCGCCTCCGCCTCGGTCCCGGGCGCAGCGGTGCAGCGGATGGAGAGGACGCAAGCCACGAGGAGTGCCAGTCTGAGAAGACAGCTACTCATTTTCTGTCTGAGGAGGAGCAGAAAAAACTTTTCTCCCTCTTTTTTTTGTCACAGTTCAGATCATAAAGTTCAAACAGGAAGACTGAAACGCGCTCCTTAAGCGCAGAGCAGCCTCCGCGCGTAACGGCAGCCCGCACGGCTCTGATCACTGGGAGGTGTGTGCGCAGGAGACCTTTCTATCACATCGCTACCAGCAGCCTGTCAGCAGTGCGGAGCTCAGTTCTCGATAATCCGTTTGTTTGGGGCAGTTTTTTTGTTTGTTTGTTTGTTTGTTTGTTTTTTTGGAGCTTCACCCGAAAAGCATCACGGTAATCAGCATCGGCCCCGCAGCAGGTTCCACGTATTCCACAGAGAGCGGAGAAGACGCGCAGAGTCCTCCACGAGCATCTTCAAAGTTCAGTCTGTGAGCATCACCATCATCATCATCGTCAGTGTCTACAAGCAGCCCTGCTCGTGACTCCCGCTGTGCTGCTGCTGCCGGAGTGCCGACGCGCAATTAAGAAGATTAAAAGGAAGAGGAGGAAGATGAGAGGGAGGCGTGCCAGTGAGCGCACCGAGCAGCGTTTCCATTCTGCCGTGTGAGCTTGCAGTCGCCCAAAACTTCTTATATACAGGAGAGGGGGTTGGGATGGGGGATAGTGTGGGCGGGGCTAGCGAGGAGTCAGAGAAGCGCCAGGGGTGCTCACTGCTGAAAAACTCCCTGTGGGGAAATTAGCCCTAAAGGGAGGCAGACTCTAAAAACCCGAGCTGTTTACAGGTTTACACCACCCCTCTGCCCTCCTCCGCCCACAGAAAACCACAGGACTCCTCTGTTGCTGAAGTAATCTGATTACCCAAAACAGCTGTGGGAAGGGCTGAATTGTGCAGAATTCTGAAGAAATGTGCTCTACACATGCCAAAAACTAAAAAAAAAAGCAGCTGAAATTTATGCTGCTCACTTTATTTGATGTAAATGTAACAAAAATGTAAATGATGTATAATAAACTTATTGCACCTTACAAAAGGTGAGTTACAGTAAATTTGCTTAATGAGGAGATATCACATCAAGTTACAGTAGAGCAAAAAAAATCTCAGCTACACTCAGTTTTATGTTTATAAACATCGATTATTTCTATTCTATTTTAGAACATTTTTAATATTTACATTATGTGTTTAAAAAATCTGTATTTTGTCACCTTCACGTGGCCCATACAGCACAGTGAGGGCTGCTTCAGTGACCCATACACCGCACATTTGCAGGAACATGTTTTTATTACACTGAATGGGACTGCAGGAGGATTGGTGTCCTTATTATATCTAAATCTTTACACAGCCACACTTCTAAAAGTCCAAACACAATATACCCGGAATAAATTAAGGTTATAAAGTTGCACATTGGTGGTCTTTGCCATTTCTCAAGTATTTAAAACTGTGTATGCAGATAAAAAGTACATATAAATTAATAAGAAAGTGAACTTCAGGAACTGGAGATCAAAATGAATTAAGTTAAATGCCCTAATTTAATTAAAGAAGGGACCATGTTAGTAAATAAGTAGTTATTTGGATTAAATAGTCAAAACTTTTATTTTCTTTGTACTTCGTTTCAGTCGCCATGTGTCACTTTCTCTCTTTTTGAGTGATTTATTTTCAATGATCATCACAAATTGTATTTGATCTGCTTGAGTTCATCTAATTTATTTACTACTTTAAACATAAATGTTCAAGTTGATTATTTAGCTGGATTTATTAAAAATTATCTATTTACTTGGAGAATTTTCTAGTTATTGATTACCACCTCTTGAGTACTTTAAATGGTAAATGGCCTGTATTTGTATAGCACTTTCCCTATGGACCCCAAAGCGCTTTACACATTCAGTCATCCACCCATTCACACACACATGGTGATGGCAAGCTACGTTGTAGCCACAGCAACCCTGGGGCGCACTGACAGAGGCGAGGCTGCCAGACGCTGGCACCACCGGGCCCTCTGACCACCACCAGTAGGCAACAGGTGAAGTGTGTTGCCCAAGGACACAACGACTGAGACTGTCCAAGCCAGTTACAAGGCGAACTCCCAACTCTTGAGCCACGATCGCCATTGTAATCAAATGTTATTTATTGCATGTAGTCATATTATTTCAGTTCTGAAAACATTCCACTGCTAAATTTAGAGATAAAACACAACTTTTTTTTCATGCTCATGTAGAGTTTCGATATACAGTACGACTGATTGAGTAAAAGCTGCAATATTTATTCTGTAATGTAAAAAAAATGGAAATACTCCAAATGAAAGTGTTTACATGTAAAATACTTGTTGTGTGGACAGTAAGAACATTCAGTGGACTTCGGTGTTACCCTTTTCTCTCTTCTAATACCACTTGTAACGCTTTTGTTTATTTGTCTATGTATCCTGTAGTCCTGCAGTGCTTCAGCTCACGTGGACTTTTAAGACGTCACATCACAGAAGATTCCGCTAAAACACGACTACAGTTTGGTTTAATCATCCAGGAGCACACTTTAAAATAAATAAAACAGGGAAAACACTTTAACTTTGGGGAGGGTGTTTGCAGTCTGATGAGTACAAGGAAGAGGAAAAACAAGGAAAAATCACATAAAACATCAAGACCCAGCAAAACATAAAGTCTGGATTAAACTGTAATCTTAATAAGAGTGGCAGAAGCCTGTGTTTAATACTCTCATACTAACTTTTAAAGTTTTTCTGGTGCATAAAAGGAAATTTATAGTCTTTGCTTTTGTTTTATATCCTTTAAGATCCTTAAATCTGGCTTTTTCCAAAGGACGTTTGTTATAAGCTGAACTTGAATCAATGCTCAGCCTTCAGAAAGACAACATAACACCGATATGTATATGGTAATCAGTTTATATAACATTAGCTTACAACTGGATAGAAAAATGTGACCCAAAGTATGGAAATACCACCATTTCAGTTGTACCATATGTTGTAGCTATAATATAAAGCCTGGATTACCTTGATGTACATCAAAGCTTTTCTTTACAGCCTTCGTCCTGTAGAAACTTATTAAACGTTAATGGTCCATAAAAGTGATTTTGTAGACACTTTGTTGTTTTGTGTCCTTTAGCTTCTTTAAAACGGTTGATTTTCAAGTTGAGTCAGTGACCAGCAGGCAAAAAACAACATAGATGGAAAAATGTTGACTTACCCTGATATTTCCTCTCAGCTGTATAGAAAAAGGCTGGTTTTATTCTTCATGTGTTATTGTTTCAAACTAAGATGTGACCACATACTTTTGGAAATTCAAACAAATGTTGCCACATGTATTAAAATAAACACCTGGGGTTATTGCAAGTGGATAAACTTTGACGTAAACGCCCTGAAGAACCATGGGAGCTCAAACCACAGCGTTACATTTTCAGCCAAGCTCATTTCGATAAGCCCTAAAAGAACATTCAAATAATCGGAGAGCCTCGCTCTTTGTAGTCAAATGGAACATGATCCGCAACAGCTCGTCCTAATGACACGGCAGGAAGTCCGGACAACAACATTTGTTAGTAAAACTGAGAACCAAATGAGCTCGTCACACCCCTTTACAGCCAGCACTAGCGAGATAGGCAGAGAGGCTGGGCTCAGTGACCTTTGACCTTTCAGCTGGTGATTATCACAAGGCAAAACAACCTGAAGAGCAGACACAATCTGCTTTTCCCTTTTTATTCTCACAGTTAATGACCACATGAATCATAATTTCTAATTAATATGAACTCTTAAATGTATTCTATTTTATATATCATAAATATGATAAAATAAAAGGTTAAAAACAGGTTTTACTTAACTTTGGAGCTCCATATAGCACCAGTTCAATAAAGGTTGGCACTTTAGTCACTGATCTCCGCTCCTCCTTGTCATGTGTGAGGAAAGTAATGAAATGGCGCCATCTTTGTTCCAAACACTGAAACTACATCATGTATAAAATCTTTCAATAATTCTATAGTTTTGCATCCCAAGAAAATGTTCATGCTTTCCAGGTAAGTAAATGTATGATTTTGAAATTTTGCAGCAGAAACCTAAAAAGTGGGATCTATCCAAGTGAAAAGGGGACAAAAGTTAAACAGTTAACATAAAATTGATGAGGCTGTGAAGGAAATTATTCTCTTTGTTCACAGACTGATTGAAAATTTGCTCCACTGAAAGTCAAAGATCTCCTCATTGTGCTTTTGGTTCTTCTAAAGTCGCCAAACTTACCAGACTTTAGACTGAAGCCCAGTTTGACATGTGAAAATCAAACATTGGCCAAACCTCAGATCATCACACAGGAGAAAATCTAGCTGTTTCCTTTGTTTTCATTTTGCTTTTCTAATTGTTTGTGTCAGCTTTACTTTCCAAACGGAGTCTAACTCAGCTGTTACTGTCTGAAGATGGAGCACCCTGGACAGGTCTCCAAGCTAATCCAAGAAACAAAGAAATTTTTTAGAGAAAAAATGTGTTTCAATAATCCTTCCAAAGTACTTTGTCCTACAGAGTCTCATAAGAATTAAACCAACCGCATTCTGCTTTGGTCCTGAAGATTGATGGGTGATCATTTGGCTCAGCCTATAAAACTGCATCTGATCCTATAAGTTCATGCTGCAGCATTAAATCATATAAAAGTTTTAAAGAGGTGACTTTTAAAACGTTATATTCCTGTTGGTTTTATTTTGTAACATATTGTTAGAATTAAGATTTACATTTTTTTGGCCTCATAGTGTAGTGATTCAGTGCCGGGAGGAGACATAAATCCGCTGGAAGGGGCTGAAACAGGAAGACCATCCGACATAAAACCTATTTCGGCCCTTGTGAATCAGGGAGCAGCTGAAAGTAGCTTTCTACTTACAATAATTGATCATTGCAGTACCTTCACAGTCCAGCAGAGGGTCATGGCACACACTAGGAGAAATTCAGAAACTGAACTTTTTTTACTTTAAACCGGGATCACTGATTTTAAATCTGTGTTCCTGTTTTGCTGTTTTTCCTCTGCAGAAGACGTCTGATGGTATCATAAGCATAAACTAAAATCCTGAAGCAAAGCAGGCCACAGTCGTCTTAGTTTACAGAATAGTCAGAATTGTTAGTCCTGTCTGGGCTGCTCATTGTTCTTCTTTTTTTGGTTTAGAAACAAACTCAACACTGCTGTAAAGACCTTCACATCAGTTTGTCTGGGGGTGTTGGGAGACTGATATTTAAGAACCGATTCATTCTTTCCCTTTTTTTTTTTTTTTTTGAAAAATATAAAATATAAAGTCATCAGAGGTGAAGGGAACTGAAAGAAAGCAGCTTCTTTTCATGAGTTATGGACATCATGGTCCCAAAAGAAAAAAGTGTGAGGTTATCCAGCTTCATAATTACTAGATTATTTTTATTTATTTATTTATTTATTTTTCTATTTTTAAAATTATTCTAATTTCATCATTTGTTCCCCTCCTGTATGGATCACAGTTACTTCACTGCAGTGGTCAAAGGTCACAAATTTTAGTCAGCTGTATGTCGAACAAAATTAATGAAATTTAAAGAAAAAATAAAGCTAAAAATGTAAAGTAGCTCAAATGCAAAGACGTAAATCACAAAAAAAGA